TTAGCCTAGTCTAAGAAACAGACTAGGATAAGTATCGAAAATAAGCAGAAATCCTCCGAAATCTTAATAAGCTAAGAAGGAAGTAAAACCCTCGAAGATTCTATTTAGTGCATTTTCCATTCCATGCAGGCACCATGAATGTTTAAAGCAGGAAACATACTGGTTTTGGTATAGCAAACTGAATTCATTATCTGGGGCCCAGGTAGAGGAAGGTTACCTAAGTCTCTAAACTAGAATTCTTTTTGCATAATGGATTTATTAACATCTTCTTGTTATGTCTATCCTGGAGATTAACAGAAGTAATTTTTGTACATGTCTATAGAGCTAGTGAATGTCATATGAATTTCAGATTGTTAAGGATTGTGTCTAAAAGTAGATCAATTAAGCAGTGTCAAAACTTCAGACCTTTCAAGCTTCCTGCACTCACCATTTGGTCTAGTGGAAATCACTGCTAGAGGAAACAATTGAGTTTGTCGTATGCCATTCACTATAAGAATGCATCTGCCAGGCTACAAGAGTTGTTTATGAAATTTAATACTCCTTTCTAGTCAACCATTCAAAGTTCAAGAAGAGAAGGAAAATAGCAAATTCTGAAGATGTCGTGGAAAAGGTTTTGGGGCATGTTGATGAGCTGTTGATGGGACCTAGCTAACCATAACTAATAGTTCAGCATTTACTTCTCCAACTGTTCTTATTCATCAGTCTCATTCCTCAGACCTGACAACCAGATGCACTGCCACAGGCCCCCCACAGCTATCCAAGATCAGCAGATACGGGAAAGAGTGAGGTGAAAGATTTAGCTATAGTAGTTGCTTTTCTCAAAAGCCTGAGACCCTGAGTATGTGTACATATATTTAAGGACGAAATAGTATTTATTAAGCAACCAGGAGACTCCTGTAACTGCAGTTGTATCCATTTAATCCCAGACATCAGTCTTGCTGGGTTTTTGCCTCGTAGATACCATGAGGACAAAGAGTTCACATTTCACCCTGTGATGGAAGTGTGAATGCTTGCAACATTCTTTTACCACTGCTGTCAGACACACATGACATTATAAAACACCATACACACACACACACACACACACACACACACACACACACACACACACACACAAACAGAGTCTCACTACTGCCATCCTTTCTTATTCTCCTGTGCAAGCTAAACTAAACATGGTAGACAGTAGGCTCTCACTCTGCTTCAGATGTACACACTGAACCGCATCTAAGATGCTCAATAGTGTTTAAAGAAATATTGAAAACCTGGGCTTGATATTTTTAATTAATATTTATTTATTTGAAGTGCAAGAGCTTCAGGAGTGTTTAGCATCTACCACTGGGCTTTCTCCCCTGTCCCTAAACTTTAAATTACTTACCTACCTACATGCATACATACACATATTTTTGTATCAAAGTATAGTGTCAACAATTAAAGTTTTCTTTCTTCTGAGAGTCGTTTTATAGGGAAAACTGATACCATTGATGATAATTCACCTCATTCTCCTTCTAGTTCTTCTTCCTCCTACCTCAGATCCTGAAAACAAAGCATTGTAGAGTCTAATATTAGAAAACAATTGACAGTTAGGGCTACGCAGAGAAACCCTGTCTTGAAAAACAAAGAGGGGGGTGTGGAGAAACAAAAAAGAAAAAGAAAAGGATCAACAGTCATGGAGAGAAGATGACATGAATTCAGAAATAAGGTGGAAATATACTTATCCAGTATAAAAAAAAAAATCGGGAAGGATTTTAATAAAGGAAATACAAAGCAATTCCACGTACAGATTTCTAGGGCAGACTTGTTTGACCGGCCTGGTCTCAGAGCGGCTAGCCTAAGCCAAGGGGACACAGAGGTGATATAGACAAGGAAAATACCAATTGGAGGCTCAGACTTCCTGAAGAGATCATGTCCTTCAAATTTTAAAGAGAAAACTGTAGGGAGTTCGTACTCCCCAAATTCACTGGGGGCTGCTCCTCCACTCATCGGCTACTTTCTCCAAACATCTCCCAAAATGTTATTTCCCATCCGTAAGGGAAGAGTCATAGACGACTGCCTAAAAAAAGTGGCCCTCACCTGGATCCTAATTTGTCAAAGGGTTTCAGGCTCCTGAGAAGTGTGACTCCATGATACTCTATGGTTTCAGGTAAGCCCAAACACTGTGTCCTTGCTGCTGAACTTTCCTTGGTTAATGCCTATCAGTGTTTTTATGAGTCATTTAGAGGCGTGGTCAAACTGCAAATGTCTCAGGGCTAAGTAAATACCATTAAATCCCAGGAGCACATCGAAACGATTTACTCAGGCTGGATACAGAGGATCTTGGTGCAAATTTCACAGGCTGTGATTACATCAGAGCTGTTTGTCACACTCTCCAAAGCCTCATGAGTAGTCCTTAAAGACAGAACTAATTCTCTGGGATTTTGTGAACTTGGTTTTGAATTAAAATGCCTGCTAAGTCATCATTTGACACTCATTCACCTTGTGGTTTGTCTTGAGTTCTTGAAACTAAAAGGTATAAGGTGTAAGAATATTCTACTTTACCTGAGTTTATATATTAATTTGTGTCAAACAGCTTCACATTTTTCAGTTGATAATTTAATCATCTTCTAGTGACTCAGTTTGCACTTATATCTGAAGACACAGATTCAGTTTTTGCTTATATACACATGAAAACAACTGTGCAAATTATAACTGTGATCTTAGTTTCCGAAGTACATTAAGCGAGTATAGCGTTTATTTCTGATTGCTTTTTAATGTAGTCAAATATTTCTGGCTTGTCTCCATGTTTTATAAATTCCTGTGAAGAAGCTGCTCGCATTTTTATTACATTTATGTTCTAAAATGTAGCTTAATCCTTTCTATACTGATTTGGAAATAATACACCTATTAAATAATCTTTTCTCAAGACAACCTCATATATTTTGGGGAATAATTCTTGAAATGTTATTTTTGACTTCTTGAATTCAATTTTTCAATGCTTAAAAAAGTGGACTTAATGTTATCACACATTGCACAATGATAGTTCTATTTACTGGACAGTGCAGTGGTATGGCTTCTGAATATAATAAGGAGCAATTGCTAAATATCATTTACTATCTTGAAGTGAAAGTGTTAGAATGCACAGAACTCAGTTCTTAGCTGTACTCATCACATTGTGCTATTGAATTTAACACAAAAGTGAACCTATCCATCCTATTTGACTTGATTTCGTCACCACCTTTTTTCCTCTTTGTTTCTCTAAGAAAATTATTCCCATCCTCACAGAGAGGCAAAGACATAGAATATTCACCTTTTCACTTTAGGCTTATTTCACTAACCCTGGTGCTCTCCGTGTTTGTGAAAAAGGCAGACATTTCTTCCTCGGTAAGTCTGGAAAGGCTGTACAGTGGACTTTATGATACAGTGTCCCGGACCCGTGCACATTTTCCTGGTTGGTTCACTATGACTGTGACTGGCATCCAGGCTGGCTTGGCTAGTGTGAATATTGCTGCAAGGACTATGATGAGACAGACGCGGACCTCCTGACCGCAGATATTTTAGATAAATGTTCAGAGAGGGCTCTCTGACTTACATGCTAATTCTAGTTTTACTTTATAAAGACATTTAGCACCGTTTTCCGCAGTTTATATCAACCCCCGCAGCGCGTGCATCCTGTGGAAATGTGTTCTCTTCTTCCCTTTGGTACTAACCTTCTAACACCTGTGAAGTGATGTCTCCCTGGGGCTTTCTTTCGGATGGCTCAAGCGATGAGTGGTATGGAGCACTCTTGAGTATCTCCTGTCCATCCATGGATGTTCTTCTGAGGAAATCTTCTCAGGTCTCTTGCCCAGTATGTACTTGGGTTGGGTGTATACCACACAGATGGTGCGCCTTCAAGTACAGACCATCGCAATGAAGTGAATTCTGCAACGAAACATTAACTCAGATTTTAAACTTCTGTGACTTGATTGTCACAGAATATCTCCTAAGTACATGGTAAAAAATCAGACCTTCCTATCTAGGGAACATTAGAGGTGGTATCTAGACAGACAAAAGTATGTTCCCCCGTCATCACTCACCCTGAAAAAGTCCCCTTAGGTCCTACTAACCAGTGAAGCTCTTTTGTAATCATAGAGGCGTTTCCGTGACAGTTTTGGTAAGGCAACTGAGTCAGGTCTTACACAAGGGGGGAAAAAATGCACTCAAGGTTCCCTCACAGAGCGACACCTACCGGGCTAGAGCGCGCAGTGACTTCTAAGCATGGTCTGCTCAGTTTACAGGGAGTGAAAGTCCTTTCTTTTGATGTTCGATCATTTAACTCACTGTGGTCAGGAGAAGTAATCCCCTCGCCGTCCCCGACACACATACAGACATCAAAGTCATTTCACAGCTTAACGAGTTTTCCTGAAAGCAGGGCTGGAAATTGCTCGCCGGTGTGAAGATTTATGAGCCCTGAAGTGTTGGCACGATTGAAAACAGCATTCTTGAAAACAAAATAATAAGGTGAAAATTCTTACAACTATGTTTTGGGAGTGTCCCGGAGGGGAAGGTGCTAGTATGATTCAATATGGAAAGGTCAGATTAATTACTGACTTCAGGACATTAGGGAAACGCGACAGGAAACAATACTCAAAAGATTACACTTCTGGGAGAAAGGAGTAAGTAGGTTTCTCCCCGCCGGCTTTAGAAATTTTGATGCAGGGTAAAAGACAAGATCCGTGCCTTTTTAAAACGGTAACTCTTTGCCTTAAAAGGATGCAGGCATCCTTCATCTGGCAAAATAACTGCTTTGCGCTTGGGTATTTACAGCCTAGCCAAGCCTGCCTGCTTTCCAAGAGGCGCGCGTAGCAAAACCGTCTGAGCGCGCCCAGCGAGCGTTCAGCGCAAAAGGCAGCGTTAGGGAGCAGTGTCTAGCCTGCGGCAGCGCCTTCCCGCGCCGAGGCCAGCCTGTGCTCCGCCCTCCGGCTCCCTGCCACCGGCGGCCGGGCGCTCCCTGGGTGGGGCGGCGGCCGGTGCAGATGCGGCGGGCCACGCGGGGCCGCTCCTGCAGCCGGCTGGGCGGTGCGCCCGGGCAGCCTCCACCGCGCGCCGCGTCGCTGTAATCGGACACCGAGCGCTCGCCCCCGGCGCCCGGCCACTTGCCATTCACTCCGAGGTGCGGGGTTGAGCGACGTGGAGAAGGGCTCCGGGTGCCGCGGCTCTGCCGCCCGGGATTCTTCTACAAAGAAACTCAGCACCGGCCGGCCAGAATCTGACCCTCGGGGCTCTCTAAATCGTTAAAGGTCTTCTGGGGAAAGGACCCGGGGAACTGAGAATCCGAGACTGGAGCAAGTGGCTGACTGCTCGTGGATCTCTGCCCGTCTCGGTAAGCCGCTCTCAGATTTTTTTCAACCGTACTCAGTTAACGAAACAGAACTTTTCTGGGTCTGTGTACTGACTTTTTTCTCCGCTCTGCTCAAGTCTGGGCTTCCTTAGGAGCCCACGCGGCTCACGAGGACAGCGCTCCCAGAGCTGAGGCAGGCTGGAGGTTGTGGCACCTGCCAAGACTATGAGTGGGGTGTTCCAATGCCTTCTAAGGCAAAAGTCGGTGGACAAGGACGTGAAATAATCATTGCGTTCTCCTATTTGCCTATAGTAGAAGACCAGGCACCAGCAATTAGGTTTAAGTGTGCGTGTTAAAGGGAAGAACTTGTAGAGCACTTGGGTGGGGAGAGGGCATTCGCAGCCCATCCCTAGGGGGGACTGAAGCCAGGGTGTTCTGTTAGACAGATCAGCGCTATCTGATCTAGCACATCTTCTAGACAGTATCATTCTTCACGATTTGTGGAGCATGTCTTCTTCAGGAGAGGCACATCTGATTATGTACTGATAATAGCAACAAAAAAATGTACACGTTTCCAGCCTGGTTAATGACCAGCCTAAGGTTAGACGTATTCATAGTATCCCCTCCCCCCTGGCTTTAACTACTGAGCCAACAGATCCCAGGGGTAAACTACTAAGGGAAAGTCACTCATAAAAATCAATTTTCTTCTAAGTTAATTTAGGGATGACAGGGTGAAGAGGTTGTGGAAGCAGGAAGAAACTGTTTCTTTTGAAAATCACCAACACAAACATCTCTGGGCTTTCCTCCATCTGTGCGGTAGAGGCATAGAGTTTCATGTCTAACTCTTGCAGCGTATGTGCTACCAAAGGACCGGTTTAGATTTTTGTTTGAGATTGCACGCTCTGCTTTATTGTCCCTTTCCTTCTGTGTCAGTGAAACAGCTCTTTCAGTTCTTAACTGCACTTCCTTATTGAATAGAATCAATAACGTCGTTTCAATCTAAAAAGCCATAGAACATAAGACCAGTAAAGATGCATTTTCAGATTAGACGTGCTTTCATTTTGCTTACATACACTTACACTAGATGAGAAGTGATGGGATTGCTTCCATGGTCCTGAGTTCACTTGGCATGATGTAGCCAGTGTGGTTTATTCCAATAGTACCTGGCCCCCCTTTGTATTCAGACATTAGTTAATAGGTTGTATTAATTTTACAGCTACAATTTTCAAGCAAGAATATTGTCTCCTTGATTTATTGTTTGAAATCCTGACAGCCCACTCTCTGGTTGATTTATGTAAAATATGCATCGGTGGATATGAGACTCCCGTGGATTGCTCACCACTAGGTCATTGGTTTCAATCTGGCAGGAGTCCATGCTTGCCTGGTCTGCATCATGTAACCGCTGCCTGGTCATCTTGATGCATTGGCACATAACTGATTGAGCTGATTTACTCATCAGGGATGGAGGAGCGGTGGATTTATGTTTGGAAACACTATTTCAGAGGCAATTAATCCAGAAGAGCTAATGAGCATGGAATGAGTGGGTACCCATGAATAGGAATGTGGAGTGTCTCTACTACTTTATTCATTAGGGACACTTTTTTCATTCATCAATACTCTATCAGTATAATGGAATGGATCCTGGGGAGCTCAGTTATTGGGTTTCTCTGGGGGTGAATCAATTAAGTTTTTTTTTTTCCTTGATGCTTTCTTCTGCTTTGGAGTCAGCATCAGTTTTACTGGAAGATAAAACAATTTTCTTATTGCAAAGACTCCCAGAAACAAATAAATCCAAATGTTTCTATTTGAGAAGTAAAGTCACAGCACCTCCTACTGCTTGCTGACTGCAGACCTTAAGCTGGCTTTATTTCTGGTTTGCCAAAATGTGCTTTATTTCTGGTTTGCCAAAATGTGAAATGATATTCCAAAAATCCCTTATCTCTCCTTTAAAGGTATTTTCTCTTGGATATTAATTTCCAAATCAGAAGAAATGGCATTCCAGGCGATTTCTGTGTTGGTTGGAGTACTTATTTGTTCTGCTTCTGTGCAAGGATCTTCGCAGCCCCAAGCAAGGGTTTATTTAACATTTGACGGTAAGACATCTGATAATAACTTAAGAAAAATGTTATTGGAAGTCTTGTTTTTTTTTCCCTTTCTTATCCAGATGAAAAATTGACATATTGAAGAGAATATGATATCATTATTTAGTTCTTAAAATGTTACCTGGCTGCCTTTTGAAATGACACTGTTACTTATGACTGGTTAATGTTGCACTGGAGGAAACTTTTCTGAAAATGTTTGGAGTGTTTACTACCTTTCCTCCCTTTAAGTTTCTTATGAGTTGAGTGTGTATCTCAGAGAGATAATAAAGAGTCTTTATTGTCTTAATCTTTTATGTCATCTGGCTGTGCTGGGACACATCCCCCTCCTGCCAAACTTCAGGATTAGAAAGGGTTACATGGGTTTAGTCACTATAACTCCAGTGTGTTACATGTATTAGCTTCAAAACTGGAGTTATTCTAGTCGTGATTTTCCCATTTCAGATATATTTCCCATGGCTGGTATGTTTTTCTAATAAGGGGAAAATGACCTAAAAATATGTGGGATAATGCATTGATATTTATTGTAGTAAACTATTGTTTTATCAAGCTTAGAAAAGTTTGACAATTTCAAATTTTGATTTATATAAAAAGCCATAAGGTCTTCTGAAGGCGTGGTACATGTACACCAAATGTTTTCATGAGGTTAATGTATGCCGTGCACATCAATTTTAGATGGGTAGTTGGGTCAGTCATGTAACTGGACAGAAGAAACATGAACTATTTGAGAAGCATCATCTTGCCTTCTTGCCTGCAGGACCATTTGTGTGTGTGTGTGTGTGTGTGTATATATATATATATATATATATATATATATATATATATATATATATATATATATATATATATAATGTTTCTAATTTTTTCATGAACTCTTGTCACTGCACGTGTTTAATGGCTTTTGATAATGAGGATACACCAAGGCCTTCACTTAGGAGTTGCAAATAGCACATTGATAGGCTAATCAGCCATTTCTTTTTAAGTTACTAAGTGCTTTAGCTCAAGGTCACCAGAAGTACCGGAGAAGCCATGTTTAGAGGTTATCCAGTGTGAGCTTCTCCTTGCACTCTTAACCTTTGTGCCTGACGTTTCTCCTTACAACCACAGTCACGTGGTTTCCATGTGAAAGACGAGAAACAATGGCTGCTTTGAAACGCTTCTTCTTTTCTTGAATCACAAAATCATTTTACAGTTGCTTCCATTTTTTGTCTCCCAAGTGGAGATTATCAAAGCTAAGAATAAGAAGACAAACAAGCAAACAGAAGGAAACCTCAAAGAAAAGAGAAATACTTTCCTTACTGTGTAAGGAGGTGACATAGCGCACCGGATCCTACCTGCATCTAGTCCCTTGCATCAACACTAACCCAAAGTCTCTATGTAAATGTTTGCAGCAAGTGATCAGTCACTTGGGATAATTCAGCAAATTTGTCTTTGAGGGGACAGTTACAATTATGTTTTCTGGGGGAAAAAAAAAATCCCACCTCTTAGAATGAAGCGCCAGTGCATTATAAGAGAGTGGTTCTGTGCCATATAGAGTGGAAGTTAGTATGGACTTTTATAGGATTCAATGTCTAGTGTTTAAATGCTTTCAAATCAAAATAGACCACAAAAAAATAGGTTGCCCTAATGTGTGACTTATGTAGACCGTGGCATGATAAAACAATCTCCCTGTAAATGGTTTCTGATATTTGTTCTTCCCACAATTATTAGGCCTCGGCAGTTGGAATAGAGTATCACTTACCAAAGAGCCATCTCTCTAACTCCAATACTGATTTAACAATGTATACTATGAAAGGGCATAGGAGGAGAAAAGGGTGGGTGGGGAGTCCTAGAAAGAGACAAGGGAGGGGGCTGCAGTGAAGATACAAAGTGAATAAATTGTAATAATAAATATATAAATAAAATTTTTAAAAGAAAAAAAGACAATGTATACCTACAAGAAGAACCTAAATTCTAAATTTTTAAGTTAACAAAAAATGTTTCCATAATAAAGTAATATATATTAAAGAATATGTTACAGAAATCGCTGGAGAAAAAATAGTTAAAATGTATGTTTCAATAATTAATTCAAGATCATATTCTTAAGATAGTTTACCATTTACCTGAGTAAAATGGATAAACTTATTATTTAAGATTTTCATTACTTTATAATAACTTTATTTTAGAATAATGCAGAACAAGTTACTAACTTTTCTCCAAAATTTTATTTTTATGTATTTTTTGAGACATTATCTAAGACTTAGCATATGTGGGCTTGGAACCCGTTATGTAGCCTATGCTAGCCTTAAAATTCTGAAAATTCTTTTTATGTACCCCTATGAACATTGTGATTCTAGCCTCGAGCTACCACCCCCAACTTAAAAGGTTTATTCTTAACACCAAAGTATACATCTATGCACAGGTCTATGATTACATAGACCTGGGTCTTATTTTATGCTTTAAATTTATACCACTGTTCTGGAATTTGAAGAAATTCTTGTAACAGACAGAGGCTGGCTGTTTCACCTGTCTTATATCTCTGCACATGTGCCCCTCTTTTGTACTGTGCTTACTTGCTCTTTTGTCTTGTAATCTCCCTGCCTGAACCTGGCTCTCCTGTCTGTCTCTTTCTATTAAAAACTGTCCAGACTTGTCTTACTTGAAGTCCAAGTAAACACTGCTGTCAATATAAAGGTGTGTGAAAAAGAAGTACCTTCACCTTCCACATTCCTTCCCTTCTAGGGGTGGATTGATGCACTGATAACATTGGAAACAAAGATTTACAGGCTCGCTTTCAACATTGATCTAGTGCAAGGTCAGGCAGATGGCTATCGGTCTTACCTGGAAATGTATGTCAGATGATATTAATTGGTTACATTCCTGCTAGCTGAATCTTTCATATCATAACATGGAGACTTCTCTTAGATATTTTGCAAGTTTTTGAATTCTTATTTTATTCCAAAGAGCTTTCAAACAAATAGAAACTTTCTGTCAGTGCTCTTTGAATTGATTATTTGTTGTCTTAAAACCCAAGAGATCCGCAGTTTCACATTTCTTTGCATTATTTACATTGATTCCTTTTTCCACAACAAAAACTTTAGACTCTGTGAGGATTGTAAGGGGGAAAAAAAACAAAAAAAAAACCCCGGCTACCTATCGTCAAGGAGGAAGGCATGTTTTACTTGCTACATTACTAGGCAAAAACTTGTTGAAAAATTCCATCTTTTCCCAACAGGAATTCTAACATGTGTTATTTTATACACTACCTTGCAAGATCAGGAATCAGTGCTGTGTGACTTGATAAAATGAGTCAGATGTCCTTAAATGTTTAAGAAAATGTTTCTGTACTTCAGATAATGTTAACCATGTCGAATTTATATGGAGTCCAATTACGATTTTAAGTAGTTTAAATATTATTTCTCTTTGTAAATGAAATAGATTCTTAAAAATACAAGTATTTGTCGTATTTTCTTTCTCTTTTGTCTAAGCCTGTAGGGTCTGTAGTAGTGTACTGTATTTTACTCCTTAGATCAGGACAATGTTTCTCACCTGTTACATATTTATTACTTTATGCACTGACATTCACTATTGTCTAATTTCTTTTTCCATGATGTTCAACGTTTTTCCTGTTAGGAACTTCCTTGCATGGAAGCTTAGCTAAAGGAATTTAGTTTCTTTTTCTAATATAATTATTCATGCTATAGATTTTTCTCAAGTACCTACCATAAACTTTGTCAAACTATAATTATTCAGCCAAGATTTTTTTTCTATTTGCTTAGCTATTTCTTCATTTTACCTATATATTGGTGATTCATCAATATTTGGGTTTAAAAACATACATTTATTTTTGTAGATTTCTGGCTTAATTTCCTGAAAGAACACATATTGTATGCTCAAGATTATGCAACATTTATTTAAACATATTTTATTATACAGAATGTGGTCTATATTGAAAATAATGTATACTCTACCTTTATAACACAGAGAATACAAGGAAAATTAAGTAGGTCCAGGTGGTAAATAATGTCTCTATATACTTATTTATTTTCAATTGCTAGTTGAAGTGGTTGGACTGTTAAGCTATGTATTTGTGTGTTCCTCTTTCACATGCCATCAGGATTTACTTCATGTCTTTTGTTTCCATATTTTGAAGTACTATACTACTAGAGTACTATACTACTCACCTATTAAACACATTTGCATTATGAAGTATCCCTAATTAGTTCTGATAAAATTATCATGTACATTTTTGAAGTATGTGACAATTACCTATCTATATAGCAAAATATTGAAATGTATTTATAATTAAGTGATGGATATTTATTATAACTTCTAATATAAGACTGTGAAACTACTAGGACATATATTTAAACTGACATAGATGGTTAAAGGGTTGATGGCATAGTGAGAAGAACAAGATTTACCTGAAATAAAGAATATCAAAGTTTATACTCTTACTCCATAATTATGATTCTTTTTCAGGACTTCAGTGCCCCTAATTATTGGGACAAAATGGTCTTCTGATGCTCTCTAGTACCCTGAAATAAAATTTAAACTTAGTTTTCTTTTATAAGGTTCAGTTATTTTGAGGATGTCTTAATAATATTTGACAATGTTTTCAAGACTATTTTGTATAAAGAACCTGTATTAGATAAAGAAAAAAGAAATTTTCTTAAAAATCCATAGTTTGGTTGTCTGATACTTTCTGGGTGTGGTATATTGAAGCTATTTAATCTCTCTAATCCAAATATTATCACCTGTAAGATAAGGATAGTATATACATTATGAGTGTTCTGAAAACTACATAAATTATGTTTTTTAAGTATGGTCTATAATGTATATTTTAACGCTTGAGTGTTTGTGTGGTAATTAGTATTTATAAATACCCCTAATTTTAAAAGGTGGCTTCTATTTATGCTGTAATGGCCTCTTTTCTATTTGCTCTTGTACAGTACTTCTCAATCTTCCTAATAATGCAACTCATTAATACAGTCCCTCATATTGTAGTGACCACA